TATTGAATTGATATTCAATTATTTTTTGTGAAATTACTCCACTAGTTCGTTATAATTATTAATACAAAGATCGAACACTCAGAAAAAACGCTCAGAAAAAATTCCTTCGATTGTTTTTATCGTGAATCGTAGTTTATCGATTCACGATAAAAACAATTTGGGCAATGAACTTTTCTAATTTGGTTTCTAATTTGTCTTTTTTTTTATGATTGAAGTGACCGGACGAACGAGACATGCGCCTGGTGTTAAACAACACGCCTAGTCATAGCAGTTGCAGTGCCACTCAGAGCTTTAAATCGCAAAGATCTAAGGGACACTGCCACTGCACCCGACACCTTAAGACATAACTTTACAAGTCCCCTGTGCCGGTAATTTCACGATACCGTTGCTCTGGTACTCATAGTACAGGAAATTAAGAAATTAACATGGATTTACAAATATATAAAAAAATACCTCACAGATCAGCTATTAATTATGATTATCATAGCAATAACAAATAAATTAAATTATTTATTGAACGTTAACAATTACCTTGACAGCACAGAACAGTAACGTATATTAGGCTTAAGTAATGGGCAATCATTAATTTAATTTATGCGCGACTTTAGAAGACATGATCAAATGAAGGAAATTTAAAGGTGATGATTTGCTCTTGACCACTACCAGAAGATACCTATTTAGTCGTACTTTAAGGATACTCGGGTAATATGTGCTCGAAAACACAGACGCAGGCAGGGAATTCTATTCTGCACATAATAAAAGATGACGAAAAGTCTTTAGTATGCTTGAAGGGAATATTGACTAAGTAAGAATGATATCCCGCGTACATCTGGATGTAAATATATTCCGATTCCATTTTATATTAATGGTGACTGTTGAATCCGGGTAGCAAACATCAACGTAGTCCAATACAAAAAGTAGAACGCACTGGGGCAGATTCTTGACTAAGTTCAAAGAAGTAAGTAATTGGACGCTATCAAAAACCACATAGAGTAAAAATTGATAGATATAGTGAAAATGTCAAACATTGATGAAGATAACTGAATTAACCACAGACTACATAAATGTGCAATTAACTATAGTCACAAAAATCTGAATAGGTTTATATACATTGTTTTGTATTGTTAATTCTAAGATTTCAATTGAAAGAAATAAATATAAAAATAATGTTTTTTGTCCGCAAGCCGACAATCACGAAGTTATTATACTAAATTACTATCTATCATCTATACAACCACAGAAGCACATAAAGAGTAGAAACAAAACACAAAATAATATTTTTATTTTATTTATTGGTTTTGGTAATATACCCATCCTAAACCAGTTTAACAAATTCATATATTTCAGCGCTAGAAAGGCTTGAAACCTAAATCTAAAGTAAAAAACTGTAGTAATAATAAATCATTTACAATTCAAATAAATAAAGAAATAATAAATGTTAAAAGAACTCTCTAATAAACAAAGTTCAAGTTATAAATCCAATGATAACTATAAATTCTCAAAAGTATGAACTAGGAAATAATAAATAAACAGTACAATTCCAAGGGTTTGAGAAGTTCTTGGATAGTTCTGGGAAAATGATAGCCTTATTATTTATAGCGCTATGTAATTAATACAATAAGCCGCTCGGAATGTGTCAAGGTCAAGATAAACAAGCGAAATAAAACATAAATAAGCGAATTGCTTAAAAAACATCCACGCCTAACGTGTAATCCGATAGCGGACTACAAGCAACAAGACAAGTCAGCACTACTTCCTTCTCGTAACATAAAACAAGATGATATGCAAAATCATCGGTTTCTACTAGAACGAAGAAGCTACGTAGCCATGTTCTTACAAGACAATATCAATAAGCACACACGTATAAAAACTTCTTGTTTTCTGCAAACCTCGAAAACAAAAATAGTCATATAAATTTATCTACCTATAATACTATTTCATCATAGTTGTAGTTCGTTTTTTACAGGTAGCCAAGCTCTTTACTGCTCTTATCAATTAGGTACTACTACCCAAAGTAGTTGACCACTGCGACTTTATTACCGATGTTTGCACACGGTGTACTTTAGCTTTATTTATTTATTTATTTATTTATTTAAACTTTATTGTACAATACACTGAAGTACAAATGGCGGACTTAATGCCATAAGGCATTAAAGCTTTATCACCATCTCCGACCACCATAACGCATAGAGATGCGTTTTGGTGGTCGGAGATGGTCAGAGGACTAGTCCAGTACTTAGACAATGAGTCTGCAGCATCATCTGGTCAGAAATTCCAACAGAACAAACCGACTGCCCTTAAGACCAGTTTTAGAAAACCAGATCATTATTTTGAGGCTATGTTAATATCTGGTTAATGCCCCGTTCTTAGCTCCGAATACGTCATTAAAGAACAGCTTTTTGCACCAAAATCTTAACGCCAGTATATCATACCCAGAAATATGCAAGTTCAGTTGCATCTATAGGCTATTTAAAATCTTGAGCCAGGCTGTTATTGGTAACGCCACCGAAAGGGCAAAGCTTTTTTAGTTCAAAGCAACCATTCCTGCAGAAATTACTGCAATTGTACTTTGCCCTTGGATGCCTTCATGTTCATGTGTTATAGGTAACAAGAAGTAACAGTGAGGACATTTTCTTGCTAACTGGTATTAATGCACAAACCATTACAATATGTAAAAACATTGCTACTTTAAATTGACTTAAATCAAAGGCACATACATAATTATCGCTGTATCGCGACGACACATTTATTATAAGACAATTACATTAGATTATGTCTTTTAATAAATAGAATCTTTTAAACCTTGTCCTTTTGTTTCTGGGAGAGCGAGACAGCTAATACCGGCAGCAATAGGAAATATTGCGAATATTACAGAAGGTACCCATTGTGGACTCGCATTAGCTATGAAAGGTGCGACCATTGCTCCCACCTTTGCCCCTGCAGAACTCATTCCATAAGCCATGTTTCTTATTGGAGTAGGAAACAATTCCGATACATAAACGTAAATTACGGCAAAAGATACAGTAGCACCACTCATACCAATGATACCGACTATAGTTGTAGTAATATGACCTTTAGTTGTAAAGGTTAAAATTATCATACACAATCCTGTGGCTATCATAGAATACATCGTACTGTATCGTCTTCCAAATTTCTTGTTCAGAAACATTCCTAACGGGTTGGCTGGTATCTGCAATAAGAAATAGAAACTAGAATGAAGCCAAAAGCTACTTTGATTAATATTAATGTTAAAGACTTTATTAATATATTGACGACCTCTGCGGTGGAGTGACTTACACTACGCTTTTAGTATTGCCATCACTGAGGTCCCGGGTTCAATTACCGACCAGGTAAATGTAGAATACTAACTTTTCTATACGTATTGTCTCGGGTCTGAATGTTTATGGTACAGTCGTTGTTTTCGATTTCCATAATACAAGTGCTTTAGCATCATTCAGATGACTTACTTTGGGATCAGAGCAACGTATACCTATGTGATGTTGCCTTATATTTATTTATCATTTATTTATTTATTCATGTAAGCTTTAACCACTTCATTTGTATTGTGTTAGTTAATAGTAGTAGTAGTACTCTGCAGGTTGTAACGAGATAAAGAGGTGTTCGTAATCGTAATGACAAACAACACAACAAAAAATAAATTTAATTTCACATAATAAACGATTTACAAAATATGCACGAACATCGAAATTTTGTAAAATATTGTTTGCTAGAGTTATCTGTTAATAATTTTATATACCATAGATTACCAGCTGAAGTATTATCGAACTTTTTTGTTAAAGCCTGGAACAAAAAATTCGCCTATATTCTAAATGATTATCGTACTAAGCACTTATGGTTTTTGTGCCAATTTCGTTTTATTTGAGTATATTGTGGAAATATAAAATAACATAATAACACTTATTAAAACGCATAGTTTTAAGATACCCAAATTTTAAACATCTAATTGTTCGAAACTTCGACAATCATAACTAAATTTAAAATGCCCAATCGTTAAAATATTATATATAATAGTCTGAAATTAGTAAAATTGGAATCATTTTGATTATATTGTATATCTAAACAGAATGAGGAAAAATGAGTACACACATCTTGACATCAAGACCGTGTTGTGTAGCGTTCTCAAGGGGAGGCTTATATCCAGTAGAATTTTTTTTAAATATTTTTTTATGATACCACGTGACGGGACGAACAAGTCATGCGTCACCCTTACCCTTCAAAACCGAAACGCAGTAATGTTCACATTATTGCTTGGCAACAGAAAGGGTATGGTGGCAGTACTTCCCTTAACAAACTCTGTCACAGGGAGCTGTACTGCTACTACATGCATAGATAGGGCGCACTATAAGTTTCCGGAACTGACCACTTCCATAAACAATATTTAAAAGTAATTACCACATTTGAAAATGGAACTCTTTGGCTGTAGTGTACAGTTTGTTTCATCTGACTGTCACTTGTGTTTAAATTGTGGCGTCATTTTAGAAATTGGTTGTCTACATCACCATGGATTTAACTCGTGAACATTTTCGTCGTACGATTTTCTACGACTTTAAGTGTAATTTAACAGATCAGCGGAGCTTCACTCGGCTTCAAACTGCTTTTGGCGATGAAGCACCATGCAAGACGACTATTTATAGCTTGTTTGCAGAATTCAAACGCGGTCGTGTAAATCAGCAGTGACGAATTTCATGATAGTCGCCCGTCCACTGCTGTGAACAACAAAAACATGGATGCTGTGCGCTGTATGATCAAAACAGACAGGTATGTGACATACCATGAGATTTGTGCATCTTTATGCATAGGCATGTGTCAAATACAATCAATACTACTCAAACATTTGGGTGTGAAACAGCTGTGCTCTCGGTGGATCCCACATAATTTGACTGAGGCTCAAAAAACGGATCGCGTCACTTGGTGCAATGCCATGCTTACCAGATTCAACGAAGGGGCGTCTAATTTGGTGTGGGACATAGTAATAGGTGACAAAACATGGATTTATAGTTACGATCCCAAAACAAAGCAGCAATCGAGGGTCTTTCGAGATGAGCCGAAACCAACCAAAGTGGTGCGCGTGCAAAGTGCCTCTAAGCGGATGATTACTTCTTTTTTTAATTAAACTGGACACGTGGCTACTATTGCTTTGGAGAATCGTTGTACCATGAATAGTGATTGGTACACAACCATTTGTTTGCCGGAAGTTATTGACAAACTCCGTAAAAATAACCGTAAACGCCGTATCATCTTGCACCACAATAATGCCACTTCTCACACGGCCAGATAGACTAATGATGAATTTTTGAAGGTGAACAACGTTGACCTTATGAGCCATCCCGCGTTATATATACAGTTCCAACCTTTTTTTTTTTTTTCTGGCACCTTGTGACTTTTACTTCTTTCCAAAAGTTAAGAACCAGTTATGCGGTCAACGATTTTCATCACCTGAAGAGGCTGTGGAAGAGTATGAAAAATGTGTTTCAGAGATTGTCACGGAGGAGTGGCATAAATGTTTTCAAAATTGGTTCATTCGTATGAAAAAGTGCATTAACGCTAACGGAGAATATTTTGAGAAACAATTAATTAATTTCTGACCATTTACAGTACTTTTTTCTTATTCATTCCGGAAACTTATAGTGCGCCTCACGTATAAGTTGATGAATGACGATGTATGCTATTGAAAATTTCTTATTTAAATATGTAGCGCGTTCGCCAAAATCTCGAAATGGTTTGCGAATTGCAGCTTAATCAGCAATGAATACTTATAAATTTCCTTATAATTCTATATCAAAAATAATGTACCTGAATTAGCCCAAGTATCGCGGTGGCAACATAAATGTTAGATCCAACGAACGTCACATATTGAGATATGCCATAATAAATAAGACCAACTGCAAACCAGACAAAAAAAGAGAAGATCGTCCTCAAACATAAATCCCTAGTTCTGAACAAGTCCAAGTACGTGGCTTTGGAGTTAGATACTTCAATTGGAACAAACTTGGCATATCCCATGACATTATCTCTTATTTCAACGGTGTTTAGGTTGTTTCTGAAAGAAAAAAGATAGGAATACTTAAATAATTTTTTTAATAGAAATATCTCTAAGAATAAAGCAAAACATTTTATTACCTGTGTGATAGATAGAGACTAGTTATTCTAGTCGCTTGAATCGTTAATTATTGATTTCCTCCATTCGATATAATTATATAGGTGTTTATCATTTTATAACCTCGTAAATTGCGCCAAAATTTGGAAAAAGAAACGCAAAGTAACGACTAATTTTAAAAAGTGTTTAGAGCGAGAATACTTTCTATTCTCGTATGTTCTATGGAGGTCTCCATAGAACATACGAGAACATAGAACATTCAGATTCCTTAATTATTATAATTGCGATATTAGGATACAAATTGTACTGTTTTAAAATGCCTCTTTATGTAATAAGTACCTCTTAGCGGCACCCGTTATCACTTCGACAGCCTCCTCAACTCTACCATTAGCAATCAACCATCTTGGTGACTCAGGTAGCGATAAAACTAGGAATGCAAAAACGGTTGACAGAAGACTGAATGCAAAAAGATACATCTGCCATGAAGTGGAAAAATAAGCAAAAGCTGCAAGTGTTGCTTCTGCAATGCCATCAGGAATTACTGTACTGCAGCCAGCGATTTCTCTGAGAACAAACGAAGCAATAGATTACTATGTAGACACAAAGTACTGGATACAAGTGGTTTATTTTTAGAGCAACCATTACGTGAAATACTTTTTAATTCACAAAAGGAAGTCATGAATTTTGTTTTTATATTTTAAAGGTATCATACATCTACATAAGCTATAGTGTTAATTTCAATGGTATACCTGTACTCCGATCCAACGTTTTCCAAAACGAACACAATGCTTATTGCCATAATACCTCCAGAAGCTACTCCAACAACAAATCGCAAGCAGTTGAATACGAAATAGCTCGGTGCGAACGATGCGCTCAGCATGAATATAATGTTGATGAAACACGAGAACAAGAGAGCTATACGACGGCCATACCTAAAATAAATAAGATCATCACGTATATATCGACGTTAAACAAGCAGACATTAGTCGAATTTTTAGACGTCACAATTACTTCAGTACAATTATAGGGTTTTTCAATAAGGGCGGGTAGATGTTGAAATGGAATAAAACAAGCTGTGTGTGAGGTATTAACAAAATTATTTTTTTATTTGAAAGGCCCATGTATGCCATTAAGTATGGAATATGACATCATGCAAATGCCCGCCTCGCCTTCTTACGGTGGCACGAATCCGAGTGGTCCAATTTTCAATGACTCTTCCGCATTGATCGGGCTAAATTTGAGCGATGGCCTGTGTTTTGTTCACCTTTAGGGCATCGGTCGATTGCGGTTTATTTGCACAGACCTGCGACTTCAAGAAACCCCACAGGAAAAAGTCTAGCGGGGTCAAATCGCATGACCTTGGAGGCCAATTCACATCACCCCTGCGAAAGATAACCTTACCCTCAAATCGTTCATGCAGAATGTCAATCGTGGCATCCGCTGTGTGGCACGTAGCGCCGTCCTGCTGGAACCACATGTCGTCTAGGTCCATATGGTTCAATTTGGGCCATAAGAAATTGGTTATCATCGTTCTGTAGCGCTCGCCGTTGACGGTGACCGCCTCACCAACGTCGTTTTCAAAAAAGTACGGACCAATGATGCCGCCGGCCCAAAATCCACACCAAACGGTAACTTTTTGAGGATGCATTATCACCTAGTGAGCCTCGCGTGGCTTGGTGTCGTCCCATATAAGGCAATTTTGCTTGTTAACACAGCCATTCATCCAAAAATGCGCCTCATCACTAAAAATGATTTTTCGGCCAAAATTGGGGTCCTCTTCCAAACGATTCGAAACCCAGTCAGCGAACAAACGACGTTGTCTATGGTCGTGAACTTTGAGCTCCTGGGTCAGTTGGATCTTGTACGGGTGTAGGCCCAAGTCCCGACGCAAAATTCGCCAAGTTGAAGTCTGCGAAAGGCCGAGTTCTTGTGCACGGCGAGGAATCGACTGCCTCGGGTTCTGCTTTACACTTTCACGGACCGCGCCGATGTTCTCGGCCGATCTTGCGTTCCTTGAACGTACGGGTGTTGGCTGATTGTTTACTGAACCGGTGGTCTCAAATTTGGCCACCAAAAGTTGAGAAGTCGACTGTGAAGGGCCACCACGTCTACCGTAAAATGGGCACAATGCGCGCAACGTTTGCATTAACGAACACTCATTTTGATAATAAAGTTTTATCATTTGAACGTTCTGTTCAATCGTGTAACTTGCCATAATGATTTGGCATAAGCAACTGAATAATATACAAAAGATTTGACAGATGTCACCAAAACAAAATGGCCGCCACGGGCCGCCAAAATCTACCCGCGCCAATTGAAAAACCCTTTATAACGTAAATAACATTAAGTATTTGGACGTACTACTGTAATTGAAAGTATACGCATATATTTGAAGTCAGTGGCATTTGTGACACTTTTTTTTCAAGTAAGCGGTTTTCATAATAATAATAATAATAATAATAATAACGCTGTGTGCGTTATTATTATTATTATTATTACTCATACTCAACATAGATTTCAGGTTTCGTCTTTTAATACACCGGACTATTTTACGATTCTAAATAATTCTTTTTTAATACACACCTATCAGAAATCCACCCAAAAAGAAAAACTCCCAACAATACTCCAAACATTAAAACCGTCTGTGTGAAACTGGCCAACCACGCGTCTTCGCAAACAAGATCAAATTCTGATATCAACGTTTTGTTGAAAATATTATTAACGTACTCATACTGAGAGCAGTCTTCATAACAAACCGAAGAAGTATCATTGTTAATGCAGTGTTTTAAACCTGTTTCAGTAAATTCTGCACATGAAAAATCCGTTGCTGGAGTCAAAAATATAATAGAGAATATATTCCACATTGCAAGCAGTCTTGTAGAAGCAGCAATGAAACAAATTGTCGCCTGCCATCGTCCAAAAGATCCAATACATTCATCAATGTAATCACGGTCTTCATCTATAATTTCTTTCGTAGACTTTTCACGGTCTATATTATACACTTTGGATATTTTTTTGGTCACCATCATTTCTTGTCTAACAAATATATTTTTATGATAATTAATAAATTTGTATGATCTGGTTAGATTTGTTAGCTTTATTTCTGAAACTATGTAAAAATTGTTGTTATTTCAATTTCCTCCAAATGTTCTTATTTTTAGGTCAGTGCGTTAATTGTCATGTTTTACCTTGAATCTGTGAGCACTAACTCTTGTTTGTCTATTTTATGTTGTATATTACTATCACAATCTCAAATATGTAAGAGAAACACGTCTCTACGAAATTTTAAATCAATAACACAGACTACCATTCTTTGTAAAAGATAAAGAAACACTAATCGGCAAGACTTAATTAAAATGATTCAAGTAAAAATAGATACGATGTTGTGTAAGATGACGATTCAATCGCTGGGAAATAGATGAGCTTTTAAAACGCATTATGCTAATTTTAAATTTCTTTCTTACAGCATTTGAAGGTCTTGGACAGACGCGAGACACGTGATTAATTACGTCAGATGAAAACTATTTATTTATATCTATAAGAACAAATTAACGCGCAAAAGCAATCAACATTAGTGGAGAGAGTGAGAAAGATATTTAATTTTAGGAACAACATTCTCGACAAGTTTTCTTTGTGTTTAAAGTTTGTAGCCCGATTCAAAATTCTGATTGTTGATTTGAAATTAAAATTATATTATTATATATTTTGTTAGAAATGAAAATGTTTATTTGTGTGATTATCCAAGAATTTGGTAAATCACATAAAAATATCACAACAATCTACCAATAATGAGTGACAAATATTCTCATGCAAACTACTACAAATTATGGTATTTAGTTTGCGTGTTTTCATTTTCATGCTCCAGAAACACTTTTACGGGCAGTTGCTACATTTAGAAGTACAAACTGTTTTAGTATAGAACATATTTTGGCAAAAAAAAATATTACAGTGAATGAAAAACAAATTGATTCAAGTTGTTTTTGGTAAGCCAGAAGCTTAAAAATACCTTAGTAAACCTTACAAAAAATCTTCAAAGTACTTAACACAATTACCCACTAGTGCGTAAAAACTTTTACATTCTTTCTATTCAGAATTTTAGAAGTCGGATTGCCCAAAATTACAGGTTATACGTCCCTTATGGCCTCTGTTATAAGCCACGTGATTGGCCAGTTAAGAGACCTATTACGGGCCTACAGGTAGATTATTACGCGCCCTCATCATGTTTAACGTAACGAGGACCTTGTACTAAAGATTGAGATGATTACTTTAGTAATATGATACAGAGGCCTTAGCAGCATAAATTGTTCGGAACATACTTGAAAATTGATGGATTGTTTCATTGTAATTTTGTGCTAAATCTATATAACACATTAATGAATAAAAGCTGACGCTTGCCAATATTAACACTGTTAAATTTCTAACAGTACTAGGGTCGGTACTTTTAGTATCTATAACATGAAAGTTATGTATGGAGTCCCTACGGGTCCATATTAAGTCTGCTTTTGTGATAGTACCTACACTCGGTGTTACGAATAATTGCTGGTAATCACATTAAAAAATCTTCTTTTTATTGTCATTAGACAATAAAAACCAGTAGTATTGCGCTCTTAATCTCTCTCTTTAGCTCCTTTGTTTATTTTGTTCCAACAACTGTACATACAGTCTCGCAGAATATTCCTTGATCACGGTGAGCGAAACCAGCGTACGTATATTACGTAAGTACTTATTTAGGACACCGCAATAATACCTACCTACACGTCGTCATCGTCGCGGGACGTTTTCCCACCTATAATTTTGTATCTGATTTCAAGAGGGCTATAGGGCACCCTAATCACGGGTATTACTCTCAGAGTCCACTTAACGATGTCATAGAATAAGAATATCAGCCAGCAATCTTTGTTTAAACCATTTAGTATCGTTATAGACAGGTTTGTACACACGTCTTGTTGGGCGTGACTAAGCCTGTATTATCTAGTTACATGAAATGCAGATGAATGTGCCCAAACTTTGACACGATGTTACATACGTCTTCCCTTTTGTAACTAGGTACCATTTTTTTACGCAGAACATTAATCGCGACCTTGATGAAATAATGCCGGAAACATTTATTTCATTATCAAGGGATAACGTGATCATCACTAACGCAAACATTAATAATTAATATATAAAGTTTTTTTTATAATACCAAGTGAGGGAACGAACAAGTACACGCCTGTCCATGACAGTTGCAGTGTCACTCAGAGCTTTAAATCACAAAGATTTGAGGGACACTGCCACTGCGCCCGTCACCTTAACTAACTTAAGTGCCTCTGTAGCCGAACGGTTACCACACTGGATACCACGCAGTGGTCACAGGTTCAATTCCCGGGCCCGGAGAAATGTTTGTATGGCCTACATTTATTTCTCTCATGAGTTTGGGTGTAATCTGTGGTTGTCTGTATGTGTGTACATGGCACTCGGGATACAGGGTTTCCCTAGTGCAGGGTTATGAGTGTGTGCGCGTTATTATTATTATTATTTCACAAGTCACAGTTGACAAGTCCCATGTGCCTGTAATTTCACCAGCATCTTACCCTACAAAACCAGAACGCAGTAATGCTCACATTACTGCTTGGCGGCAGAAATAGGTAAGGAGGTCACTGCTACATATATGGTAAAAAGAATTTTACAATACAAAACATATTTTATGTACGTGTTGTCATTGTCATGTTACGTAACATACTCTTTTGTCAGTTTTAGGCTATGTTTTAAGGTTTTATATTTATAGGCACCTGGGGCAAACCATTACGATGATTCGCCCATCCGAACCAATTTCCAAACAAGATTACTGCCTGTATCTGATTTGATTTGTTTTTACTTGTTTCCATATTATTGGAAACGTGTGAGATTTACTTAGAAAACTACTTGTTCTTATATAGAAGTGTCTTAACTCTCTAGTTAATCTAACACAGGCTCAGTTACGGTGGGATTCACCCACCTACAAGCTCTTATACCATTTTTTTATTGTAATCGAACCCAGAACCGAGGTCTTCAAAAAATTGTACTTTCACCTTACGTCAATGTGCTGTTTGAAAATTTAATGTTACTTACTAACTGTATTGAATACGTAGTAATTGAAGGAAACTACTCTTCGCGAGACTAATGTGTAACCCAAAAAAATTGACTAACTATATTAGAAGGAGTGCATTCGGTTCATTCTAAAATACCAGTGCACTAAAAATGTCCCATCAAGATAGAAGAAGGGAAGCTCCTGCGACGACGTGTATTTGACACCTTCTGAATTCAAAAAGCACTCTTAGCCACACTCCTCTTACGTAACAACAAAGCATCAAAATTAGTTCTAAAATTGGAAACGAAATCCATTTTAATTTTTTAATTTCATTCCGAAATTTGAACAGGAAATTCTATTTTTACCGTTCCTCTTGCTAAAAAACGTCTGATGCAAGAGGATGCAAGAGACAACATCCCCTTCTCTTTTTCCATTCGGAGCCTATCGTAAATTTTCAAAAGAGTTTTTAACCACTAGTCAAGCGATTTATAAATTAAACAAGGGCGTGTTATGAAGAAATACCGCGGCTTGGAATGGGTGCGTTTCCATTTTAAGTCAAGCGAAGGGTATCGTAACATGTATAGAATGACTCTCGTCATTCTAAACATGTTACGATATTATGAAATTAACAAATGTATAGTTGCTGTATAAAAGCATTGCGACACCGTAAAATAGAATAATGGATCCTCAAGCAAGACAATTCTTAAAGCGAATAAACCGTCTTTATAAAATTATAGACGTGACCATAAACTGATTTTTTGCAAAAAAAAAACAACAAAAATAAGGGCATCGCATTTCCTGTATTTACACAATAATTGCTTTGTCAAGTATAGCTAAAGTTTTGAGATCAGTACAGTAGTTCAGCTCAAAATTAATAAGTATATTTCATTCATTCATTAGGCATGTTCCTAATTAGATAGTCAAGGATTCTCCCTTATTGTTTGCTTAATAATAATCATCAAGATTTCCGAAAATCACAACAAAAGACGAGTACCAAATTTTGATATTCCAAACCGTATCGTACTACAATGAAAATACAGCACAAAGAAGAAATATAGCCACGAAGGTTCTTTCCGCAAAAAGCTCGCAAATTCGCTCATCAATTATCATTATTGTGGAGACGCCGCCCGCGCCGACGACGCGTAATTGAGTTTTATAAATGGCGCCGACTCGATGACGTGTGCCTGTCGTTCCAACCTTAAAAAGTTGCTAAAAAGACACTTAAACTGTGAAGCAAGCAAATGCATCGAGTCACATGAACATTTTTGAAGCTTACAGGTTTCTTTTTTTAAATTAAAATTAAGCTTACGTTTAACCGCCAGCACGCCTATCGAATAGACATTGTTTGTATTACAAATAGCACCCTTAAGTAGTTTCTACGAAAGTAACAAAATAGATTTAATAAAAGTACGTGGCGCCAACCATTATGTCATTTGGCTCGTGCTAAATATGACAAAATTTTTATTTTTTATTTGGCATGGAAAATGATCTACTATGTTTTTATTTTGTGACGTGGTAGACTAATGGTTTGACCCACCACCTTTCAAGCAGAGGATCGTGGGTTCGAATCTGAGCTTGCACCTCCGATTTTTTGGAAATGTATGTATGACATTTAATTTGAAATGTACCCATGATCTTTACGGTGAACAAAAACATCGTGTGTCATAGTACACACATCACACATGTAACAGTAGAGCTCCTTGCGAAAGAGTTCATCCAGGGAAGTGCTGTGAGTATTAGGCGTTCCGGTTTTGAATGGTATGGGTGTTGGTGAAATTACAGGACATGAGACTGAGAAAAGCTGACACTTTTGTCTCAGGTTGACGGACGCAGTGACAGTGCTCCTTAGATCCAAAGATCTAAGGAGCACTGAACCTCAAAAGGTTTAAATCCCTGTGTGGTACTACAATTCGTATGGACAGGCGTGTCATTTATCACCGGGCTCATGATTGGTTCGTCCTGTCACTTCGTATCATA